CTGCGGTGCGTGTACACGCGTATACATGTAGGTAGATAGGCAGGCGAGCAGGCAGGCAGGCAGGCGAGCAGGTCGGTAGGTAGATCGCGTACATACAACGCGGGCACATCGCACACACGGCTGCGCCCCGAAGTTTCCAACGTAAGACGCGCCGGAGAGCCGCGCGGCTCTCGTATGCCGTATGGCGTCCGCGCGTTACCTCCCACACATGCCGTGTAGAAAGTTTACTAGATGGAAATCTATATCTTATTTTACGGCCAGCCGTGCTCAATATTCTTGACCCCGAGCGGCCCAAGCGGCTGATATAAATGGTCCGCGTAAATCTTCCAGGCTCTCGCGTCGCAAACGACGCAGATAAAGAGATGCATCTCCGCGCGCCGGAGACGGCAAAATATCCGTACTGTTATCAGGAATCTTCCCGAGTCGAAATTTTAGCTCTACTTTGGACCTGAACTTCCTAACATCTGTATATCCTGAAGGATCAGCGTATGTGTAACATACATGATGGAAAATGAATTGCTATTTGGCGCCTCTAAATTGAAGAAAATGCACAAAACGTCACTTGTACGTTCCAAAGAGGACAAGCTAGTAGGTCGAGTAGAATCAACGGAGGTTGATGTTGGCTTCAGAGTGTCCAAGTAAACGTCAAATGGAACATTAACGTCGAAAGTAGGACCAAAATATCGACTCAGATTCAAACGATCCGCGGGTCCAGTATAAAAGTATCACAATGCCCGGAGAACGCGTAACCTTGTTGTTTTAGTCTTTATAAAAAATATGAATATTTAAACTTGAAAAATGTACATGTATTCGATGTGGAAAGTCTAAGGATTCGCATTAAAAACGTAAGGTAAAAGTACCAATACCTACGTATCTAATTTTGGATATTCTTATTGTTTTGATTTTTAAATACTTAAAAAAATATTTAAACTTGAAACATACATTCTACGTTGAAAATTTTAAATATTCGTACTTAAAGACCAAAATAATACTATTGTCCAGGATTGGGTACGTATCTGGGGATCGCCACTTTCATTTTATTTTATTATTTTCCGCGCAATTTTCGACGCGTCTCGTCGGATTAGACGGCGTACTCGCAACCTTCGCGATTTCTTCGGCAGGTACGATTGATGGAAGAAACTGGTCATTCACGGAGGCAGAACGTATCCCGCGCGGTTGTACACGAGATCAATGTGATCAAGTGGTTAGTAATATCAATAAGGTGCAGACAACATTGACACTTACAATCATATACAAAGTCGCGCCGCACTTTGCATTCGCAATACGATGTTTTGCGCGAGAATCGTAGCATCAGACCGGAATCGCGGCGCACGTCGGCTCGTTCCACTTAAGGCCGCACTTTTATTCCGTACAGTCGACGCTGAAACCGATTCCCGTTCTCGCGGATCTTGGTCTCTTTATTGGATTATCGGCCGGGCGATAGCGCGAGCCGCGTCATCGATAATCGGAGTAATTGCAGATGCAAAATAAATATGTCGTCGCTCGGCAGCGGGATCACCTAACGCTCGCGCGCACGCCAATAACTGCCGATAACACGGACGAAGGAAGGAGAGAAAGAGAGAAAGAAAAAAAAAGAAAAAACAAGGAAAAAAAGTGGGGAACGTTAATACGGAGTTTGCCTCGTCGTCGTCGTCGTCGTCGTGGCATTTGTCGGAGCGAAGTTATTGCATTCGAGGCTGAGGAGCATTAAGTATCCTTAACCTACTGACCGGTTCTCCGGCGGCGCGCGCGCCTCGCGCTCGCGCTAAAACGTGATCGCGCTCTCGAGTGCGCGCGCGGCGCGCGTTCCGAGGATCATACCTGATTTTGCGCAAAAAGTCCGGCTTTCGTGCCAGATTAGAAAGTTAATCTACATTTCGTTAGGCACACACCGTTCACCGGCGTGTAAGTAATTACACACCGCCGCGGGTACCGCGAGAGACAAACACGACGGGAAACTCGGGGCAAGCCGCGAGCTCTCGTAGAGTCCTGCGCCACGCCGCTGCTTACGATATATACCTTGCCCAGCCGCTCTCGCTCGAAATTCGGCTCGCTCAAAACCCTTTCCCCGTGGCGCGGCCCGGCCATATGGCGTAATGATTTTTAACCTTCCATGCGAAATATCGCGGGTGTGTGTGTGTGTGTGTGTGTGTGCGTGCGCGCGGCCCGGGCCAAATACACCGCGTTATTCACGGCGTTCGTTAGCGTAGCGCCAGCCGTTAATTAGCGAGCACTCATCAGAAAATTAAATTACCAGTCGATAAATAATCGCAGCGAATTGTATCGGTGCGTGTATGTGTGTGTATAGGTGCGTTCATTGGCGTTCTTTCGCTTTTCTTTCTCCCGAAGCGCTTACCGCGTCCACGACGAACGACGACTGACCGAACGACGCCGCGCTCGAGAGAAGCAAGTTTCTCCCGTGGAATAATTAATCCGCAGCGGAAGGAGCCAACGCGGACATTTTATTTGTACTTCAAATATTCCTTTTGTTTCGCGGGGCGCACTTATGTTGCACCGTGAAGTGGGATTTTCGTCTCTCGCTCGGGGCGGAGGGTCCTGAGACAGCGTCGTCTACGGGCGTCTTCGTTCGCGAAAGGGTTGCGAAAGTAAGTCAGTAAAGCGAGGGTGAACTTTCGGGCCGAATTCAAAGATTAAAACGGCGGTGTCTCTTTAAGCTCCTTGCGAGAATCGCTCGCACGGACCTCGTCGTCCTCATCGTCGTCGTCGTAGTAGTCGTAGTAGTCGTCGTCGTTTCTGGAAATCGTCTCGATTCGCTCAGGCAGTCTCGGGCGACATTTTTAATTGCTGCTTCCGAGCTGCGAACGTTTTCGCAAAATTGGGAGTCGTTAGAACCGGGAGTCACGGTGACGGCATTCGCTTGAAATAAATGATAAATCGGCGAGTGGCAGCTGCGAAAAATAACGCGACCTTGCTTTTTATACCGCGAGGAATACTTATTACTTCTAGAGCTGCATCTCGGCCTATTCTATATCAGCCGCGGGCGATAAGATAGCCGGACGGAAAAAACGCCACTCTCATGGCAACAATCTCAGGACGCGCGCACGCCGGATTTGCGTGTGTCGCGGAAAAAGTGAACGCGTCTAGAAAAACGTGTCCGCGAGAAATATATCGCGCGTACGAGCGAAATTCGCGAGAATTTAGCGCGGCTCTCGAGAGGGGGCGAGGGATGAGGTGGCGTATTAAAAGCAGCTCCACACTCCTCCTCGCACTTTTACGATTTCGCTTAACTTTAATTAAATTACGAAACTGACGCGTTTTGACATCGCCGAGCGCAAAAATACCGCGGAATCCGATATTAAAGTACAGTCCGATTATAAAATCGGCTCGCGCGTTAAATGCAGACTATTCGGAAAGAGAAGGAGGGGAAAGAGAGCACGGAGGAGTGTTTGAATTCCGCTCTCGAAAGTATCTCACTTTCTTTCGTCGTACAGCTGAACTATGGCGGGGAACTCTCGAGTCGCGTGATTTGTCCGGCTCTAGGCGAGCTCTCGCGGTTTCCCTTCCCATTAAATTTTAATTAACCGCGGTCGGGAAAAAAGCTAGGTAAGTGCACTATACTCGACAATATGCATACTATAGCCCCACGTTTTGCCATCCCGCGTAATTAGTTTCATCGACCACTAACGCCGTACAAGGCGTTGAACAAAAAGGCCGGACTCGCGCTCCGTGAAAAAGGACTCCGCCGTTATCCTCCGCTCCGAGAAAGAGAGAGAGAGAGAGAGAGAGAGAGAGAGAGAGAGAGAGAGAGAGTCGGGAACACGGGTGCTTACGTTTCTCGTTCCTACTCGTAATTAAAAGCGCTAAACGAATGAAAAAAAGAAATAATGGCGCAAAAGGACGTGGCATAAGCTGGTCGGTTACGCGAGATTTGGAGCTTTGATTTCCGACTGCGTAAATACGTGTTTTCAGACGGAAGAGAAGTTCTCTCCGCGAATCGTCGCGATTTCTACCAGTTTTCTATCGCCAGAGCGAAAATGCCAATTTGTCGGCTATTAGTTCTTCATTCGGTTCTGTCAACACAGTGCGCCGAGCAAACATTGCACCGAGATTCCTTATCTCGTATCACAAACAGCCGTACAATCGGGCCGCGCGCGCTGACTCGCTCGTTCTCGCCCGCAGACGACTCGGAAAAATTGCCAAGGCGATTCGCGATCATGCTCCCGTCATGCTTTCGACGCGGCCTCATAATCGATCGCGGAAACGATCGCCTCTCCCGCGCAGCTCTCCCATCGGCGCGAGCCCTCGGCTCTCGACTTGCACGAGTTGAAGAAGTTTGGAACGTTGTTTGCACTTTGTTTGTGCCTCGAAGGAGAAAAAAATACGAGGCGGTTAAAGAGTAGTCGGAAGATTCTTAATGCTTTGCTCGAAGAGACAAGCGGGGAAACAAGAGCGAGTTAATTCCGTCGTTAGCTACGGCTTTTCGACTGATCGAACGACGGAAAATTCTGTCGATGCAATTCGTCGCTGGCAAGGTCGTATTGATTAGAACAACTCGCTAATGATATTGACGCGAATGTCGCAGAAATGTCTGCAAAATACACGGAAAAGCTGGATATCTGCAAAAGTTTGATTGATTTGCACCTTGACAAATGAGTGTTTGTTTAAAGCGTTAATTAGTTGGAACTAATTGGCCACTCCCATTGTCGTTTTGTTTCATTTTATATCTCGAAGGCTTAAAAGCTCAGAGAGAGAGAGAGAGAGAGAGAGCATCTTCAAAATTCGTCAAGTCGACACATAAATTGATTTCTTTTGAATAGATTTTCTTCATAAGATACTTTTTGTTATCTTATCTTCCAAAGTACATGTTATCTCATTGTTGCCTTTTCACCGCGATGCCGGTTGACTATCTCGATATCGAGTTACTATCATTTTTTATCTTTATTGATCTGCAAAAGAAATATACACTTCCGAGCCTCCTTATTCTTGATTTGTTCATATTTTTTCATATGACTAACCATAAAACTTGCTTTTTGTTTCAGATTTGGCCCGCGGCCGCCCGAGTGCGATTCTCCAAAGATGCAATATCAGTGGATACCGTATTTCGGTGAGTCAAGAATAAAAATTTCAGGTGGTGAATTTTTTAATGGCTACTCGAGTAGAAATTTTGGCCTTATGTTAAATCTTGAATTTCACAAGGAGTAGAAACTAGGTTAGCAAGGTAAGTTTAATTCTAATGATACAATTTATTCCTACTTTGACTCTGATGATGTCCAAAATTTCCCTTTTCGCTCTCTTTAGCGTCAAAATAGGTGTTGAATGGAATAATGAGGCTGAAAATAGGATCAAAATTTCGACTCACACGCAGAAAAGTACCGTTCTAGTGCTAAAAAAAAGTGATGACTGAGTTTACTTTCCTCCTTTTAACTTTATAATGGTTATCTTCAACAAAGAATATTTTCTTGATAATATTTCTAAAACTCTCGATAAAACTTCTGAAACAAATTTTGAGAAAAGCTTGTTAGGAGAAATCAATAGGACACGGTAACGCGCATTTTTAGAGTCTAAATCTCAAAATAGCTAACGGCGTTCGAGAACGAACATATAAATGGAAACAAACAATGTTCTCCTTGAGTAGCATCAAGAAATTTGAAATGTCCTGTATTCTATCCGTGATAACTCGTTTACATTTTCTCGACCGAGCAATTTCCTCAATACTGTCGTTCCACATCCGTAACTACATTATGTTATATGTATTAGTTCATTTTCGGTTAATGATGCCGTTCGACATGGTCAAAAGGTCGAAATGAAATAGGAAGCGTGGGCGTGTGTGTATCGGAGCGTCTCTCTCCCCTGTGCCCTATCGCCACGGCAAAGGTTCTATTCAAATTAACCCTCACGGAAAAAATGCGGAACCGCGCGCCGCGGAAGGGTTGGAGGGAAAATTAGAATAGGCTGTGATGCGTCGATAGACCGAGCTATGCATATGCGCCGTGACTACGTTCATTTCTTTCGGACCGGGCCATACGGCGTTCCTACCGCGGCTTAATCACTTTTCTTTCCTTCACCCCTCCCCCTCCTCCCCTTTTCACTCCCGAGGCCGTATCTCTTCTCACGACTTTAGCGATATTTCAACGGCCGCGAGCGGTGCGCGTCCGATCGCGTTGAGACGTGAAACCGAAGCGATCCATTCAGTCGAATGGAAGAAAGAAGCTCGAGATATTATCGTAACGTAATATTTTTCGAGTAATATCCTCATCTATACTGCACCGAGAGAAAAAAATATCTAAGAACTAGTAAACATTTTCTATTACTACACTGAGAGAAAAGTGTATGATATTTGGAACTATAATGGCATAGTAAAAAGATTATAGTTAGGAATATAATTTTTATAGTAAATGTTACCATAATATTTGTAATATTTACAATATAAGCATAGTATAACTGACCCGTGTAAAATTTTTACCAAGAATTGTAATTATTTGAAATAAAAAATATAGTAAGATAGTAAATATTGAATGGTAAGAGAAATTAACTATTTTATATAGTCAATACAATTGAAATATTTTGCAAATATAGGTACATGTAACTATACTCTCAAAAGATGCTTCACCATATATATAAAGTAATAAGATGATAACTATAAATCTGTGTTCATTCTACTATATCTTCATGTTTAGATGAACTATAAAAATATGTTTGAGGCCAAAACGAACTATAAAATATAGTTATTATGAGATTATAGTTATTCCAACTATTTTTTTCTCTCAGTGCATAGTAAAAAGATTATAGTTAGGAATATTACTTTTATAGTAAATGTCATCATAATGTTTGTAATAATTACAATATAAGCATAGTATAATTGACCTATGTAAAACTTTTACCAAGAATTATAATTATTTGAAATAAAAAGTATAGTAAAGTAGCAAATATTGAATGGTAAGAGAAATTAACTATTTTATATAGTCAATACAATTGGAATATTTGGCAAATATAGGTACATGTAACTATATTTCCAAAGTGTGCTTTACTATACACATAGAGTAATAAAATGGTGACTATAAATCTGTGTTCATTCTGCTATATCTTCATGTTTAGATGAACTATAAATATATGTTTGAGGCCAAAATAAACTATAAAATATAGTGAGATTATAGTTATTCCAATTATTTTTTTCTCTCAGTGTATAATAGTACTATATAATATACTATAATAACACTGATATAATATACTATAATAGTAATATACTATAATGATACTAATAATATTATAGTGGATACTATAATAACATATTTACTTGTACTAACGTAAAGTATCTTTCAAACATACATTTTCTCAAAACCTTCAGAAAACCCCAGCTCTTCATGGAGAAGCAACGATTGATTCTGCTTAAATAAAAGAACTTATATTTAAGTACCCACTAGAGAAATATTTACTATTTATTTCGTATTGGATGGAAATTGAGTTATGCTGGGTTTATTACTGATTCATTGACGCATATATTATATAACAAGATTCAAGTCATAACGTTAATTCCGCACACTATTTTTTAGATATTTCTTCTTTCAGTGTACTGTAGGGATGTGAAATTACAGATGTGTGTGTACATGCATGCGTATGATTGTATGTGGGAGTAAAATGACGAAAGACATTTGACAGAATCATAAAGGAGACAAAATATGTGATTGTTGACACGAACATTATGTACATTAAGAGGCGACGTTGTTGTGCAGCAATTGATTTCTCCTAAAGCGTATGCGTGAGAAAAACTTGACTGTATGATTATAAAGTGGTAAACGGGGGACAAGTTCTCAGTTTCTATTGAGAGCGAGAGATGAGGACGTAATTTTTTGCTGCGAGAGGTGCGAATCTTAAACGTTACTTTCTTTATACAACTTGCCCAAATAATTGCATCATTCTATATATATTATTAGACACGTCGCGTATAGATAACACATCCGTCGGTGTACGGCGGTTCTATTCCGGCGCGATGCAACTTCGGACGCAGCTCGTTACGTAAGAAGAAAGATCGCAAAGTTGCAGCGCTAATTTCGGCATCTACTAATGACGGCGTGTCTTTTTCGAGTATCGCGCGGCCGTAGTCGAATGTGTTAATTAGTAAACACGGCCGGTTACATCGCTCGAAAATTGCATGAATGCATGAATTCTGGCGTACGAGTAATTTACGAGTGTGCCGCCTGTATACGGGCCGGCATTAGAATTAGCGCGCTCGCGCTATTAAAACATTCATCGCGAGGCCATAGGTCGGCTGATTAGCCGCTGCGTTATATTAATCAATGAAAATTAATCAACTTCCGGTGCAGAATATCCACGAAACGCGAAGGTTTCGCCCGTTAATCTCACCCTGGGGAGTCTCCGTGGCGAGAGTGGCCTATGGGAGAGTTTGTGCAAAATCGCGGCCGCGGCGAGAAAGATATTCCGGCTCGTTTCGCGCGACTTGTCGTTTCTACCTCGTCCTGGCTCGTCACCCTCCTGCCTCGTTATTTTTATTTGCCAATCTCAAAGCGCGTCGCCGCGCACTGTTGTTTGATCTCTCATTCCGCGCCATTTGTGATAAAGGGACCACCGGCGTCGCTCGCTCTTTTCCACCTCGCGTCCTCCTCGCGTCGCTTTTCCCGTTTAACTTTGATTTTTCTCGAGACGTCCGCGCCGAGAGGCATTCCGCCGCATGAATTCTTAACCGGGCGAAATTAGCGAATTAAAAGTGCGAGAGGGACGGAAAAAGACGCGTACCTGGGACAGGCCGCCGACAGCGTCGCGCCGGAAGGCCGGCGAGATGGCGGAAGCGGAGAAAGAGGAGGACGTGAAGCGGGTGGTGGACGATACGGCGGACTCGGAGAGTCCTGAATTCAGAAGCGCTCTCGTCCTTTTCCCCGTTTTACAGCGGCGACGGTGGCGGCGGCACCTCGTAAATACGGATATGCAGCCTCGTTCCCAAACTGTTCGGCGCGCGCGAAAGGGTGAGGCCGGGCGACGAGAGCGCGAAGAGTGCCTTAATTTTTATTCATGCGCCGGCGAAACGGCAATTTTTCGCAGTATTAAGTGGGCTTTAAAATTGTCCGGTCAATTTCGTCGGCAGAACGTGCTCCTTTTTTCAAGCACCGCTAATCGTCGTCGCGGCACCCTCGCGCGCGCGCCCTCCGCGGAGAACAGACAGAAGAGAGCCTTCTCTTCTCTGCCCGTGTCGTTTCGTCTTCTCCGGTGTGCGACGTGGACACGACGAGCGAATGACGCGTCGCTTCCGTCGACACTTGGGCAAATTGCATCCCGCGGCGGGCACACGTCAAGGAGCCAGGATACCACCAACGGCGGCGCGCTTATCGATAACGCACCGCCGGCATTACGCATCGGCGTCTTTCGGATCGCAGAGCTGATAGACGGATCATTAGGTCATAGATGTTACCGGATGGACGCGCGTGTTATATACCTGCACTCTCTCGCGGCCTGCGTTCACAATCGCGCCCGGGTTAGTCCTTTGAAGGCCGATCCCGCCGGCCGCTTTTCGCAGCGGCGATTTTCGCAGCCAACACACGCGCGCCCGGTTAGCGGCTCCGGGAAAACCGATTAATCCTTGGCGCGCAGGGTGGCCGATCATTAGATTTTGGCCGGGAAATTGAGTTTTGCCGGCTGCCGAAGGGATAATCTTTGGTAGCCTCTGGCTTGCTGCTGGTGTGCGCGAATTCTATCCGTCTTCCTTTCTCTCTCTCTCTCTCTCTCTCCCTCTGTATCTTTCTCTCTCTCTCTCTCTCTCTTTCGCGCGCACTCTCCCCCGTCTTTCTATCCTTCTCTATCTCGCCGCATCTCGATATCGTCGCGTAGGCTCTTGCGAATACGCGCGCATACTCGCCCACGTAACACGCGTGCTCCTGCATATACACATATGAATGTACATCCTATACAGCCGCAGTCTCTCGTTCACGCGCTCGCGCGGTCGTGCGCGCTTGCGACCGACGGTGGCGGCGCGCGTAACTTCGGTTCCATTATTGAGCGATCGGGCGATCGAAAAATTCCCGCGCTTTTTCGCGTGCTGTCGCCCCGGTGGGGCAAACGGACCTCTCATTGGCCCGGCCGTTTGGTCATCCTTGCGCGCCGCTGGCCGCGAGAGGGGGTGGATGGACTCACTCTCTCCGTTGCTCTCGCTCTTATTCTCTCCCTGTCTCTCGCCCTCCCTCCCTCGCTCCCTACCATTCCACCCTCTATCGCGCGCACACGACTCTACACCCTCGCCAGGTACTTGTCTAGGCTACACAGATATTGACCAGCTATCGATATCGCGCGGACAGTCGTCGATATTATATTCTCTGTGCCGCCAGCGGCCTCCGTTCTCTCCCTCCCTCCTTCCTTCCCTCCGCCGCCCCTACCTTCCCCACCGACCCCGTTCTTTCGTTTCTCAACCTCCCGCCCCGGCTCGCCACCCTAAAGCGCGTTCTCGCAAATTTCGGTTAATGAATTATATGTATAATATATAGACACGCGGGTGCATATATGCGCGCGAACGATGTAACTCGTGTGCATATTTGCGGAGCGTTGGGACGAGGATGGTAGGTAGGTACGTAGATAGGTGGGCACGGATGGTAGGTGGAAAGGAGGGAGGGTGGGGTACATCGGCACGCCGGCAAATTCCCGCCGATTTTTGAACGCGGACGACCAATCGCCGCGTGCCCCGCCGCGCCAGAATTTCATCGAAATGAGAAATCAATACGCGCTGCAAACGCTATAACGGGATTGTTTCGTTACAAAAATGCCCGCGGTTTCCGAGCAGCCGCCGCCTTGCATTCGCGTTATCTCGATTGGCGATCACTCGTGCGCAATTAACCCGCGGTTGGAGCTATGCGACCGTTTCTTTCTTTTCTTTCCTTATCCGCGCGATTTTTGCAAGAACGCGCGCGGAAGCGTGACTGGCGCCGCACGGGAGAAGGTGAAACTAAAGGAAATATACGAAACCCCGCCGCGAAAACGTTGGGAAAAGCTCAGCGTGATTCAGCGATCACTTCTGTGCAATTTTTATCGGGCGACAGCGCGCTGAAAATAAAGCCGTTGCTCGCGCGCGCATTTTCACCGTTGTTCTCTTGGATTTTTCACGCGTTGCGCATGGTTGATCAGGAGACGCGACGCGGCGATTATCGTGGCGTGGAATCTCGGTGAAATCGATAGAACCGCAACGATTACGATCGACTCGTTGCGAATTATCGAGGGGTGGTTGGCGCGCGGTGGCAACTCTGACGTACGTATCGCAGTCAACGAGCTCGTCGAGTCCCGCGAGCACGCTACGTGGATATAAATTTCGCACCGGCGAATCGTTCGTTTCTCCTTAAGACATCCGAAAATAGAAATATTCCGATTAAGCCCGAGCCGGTGAGCTCCACGAGCGAGCGAGCGAGCGCGCGCGCGAGCGTCACGAGATACCGCAGCAAGTTTCGCACCCTCTTTCCCGCATGCAGCCGCTCGTGCGGCTGCATTTAAAACATTTTATCGGTACAAGTGTGGAAATCCAAAGCGGCCCTCTACGTACGCGCGTGTATACACGCCCAGCTCGAGCACCCACCCTGCGGAAGAGGACGACGACGAGGAGTGGGATATGTGGGGAAGGGCGGTTATTAATGTAAGGGGTGGCTGAGCAGTAGTTATTTGGCTGTGGGTGGTCGAGAGGGAGGGGGAGAGAGAGAGAGAGAGAGAGAGAGAGAGAGAGAGAGAGAGAGAGAGAGAGAGAGATTGAAAGAGAGAAAGGGTGAAAGAGATGAAGAGAGGGAGAGACAGAGAAAGCGAGAGAATGAGAGGATGGGAGGTCGAGAGATGGGCCGGCTAAAATCAATGCGAGTCCTTCTTTCGCCGCTATTTACGGTTAAGAAAAGACAGGCTCGACCGACGTGGCGTGGTGTAGCGTGGCGTGGTGTGGCGTGGCGTGGCGTGGCGTGGTGTGGAGCGGCGCGATGCGGTACAGTGCGGTGCGGTGCGGTGCGGAACCGCGGTGGAAATAAAAAGATAAGCGCAAACGTGGAAAACCAGGTTACAAGCGGGATATTCTCGTCAAACCCGCGGCGTCTGCTTTTATAAACCTGATTGAGCGACTGGCGCGAGCCGAGCCGAGTCGAATCGCGCTTGTTCGCGAACGCGCGCCGCGAGAATATTGCGGATTCGTGTCGCGAACGTTCTCCTCCGTTCGTTCGTTCGAAGAAAGTTTAAGAGAGCGGCTCGACGACGGAAAGAAAGAGAAGGGAGAAAGAGAGATGGGATGTTACGCGTTACGTTACGTTTCACGTCGACATCGAGCAAAATCTCCGTTTACTCTGTCGACGATGAGCTTCGCCTCGGGTCGATTGTTACTTGCGCTCTCGTGTATCTATCTTTCTCTCTTCTTCCTTTCTCTCTCTCTCTCGATCTCTTCGGACCGACTCGGACTGATTCTCGATTAAATAGCTCGAATACTCCGACGTGGGTGCGCCTTTTTTCTCGTTGCCTCGCCAAAGCAAATCTTCGTTAAGGTCAACGAGATTTTTCCAAGGGTCGAGTCTAGCAGTAGTCGTGCGCGCAGCGCTGACCGTTCGCTTGCGAGGCTAATACCTTCCGAGTGACTACGCTCATCCCTTAATGAAATTCTTTCTACTACCCGGATGCGACCCATTGGCTGCCTTTGCTACCAGATCGGGTTTTCTCATTATTGCAAATCCTTCGTGCCGGGCCCGGCCGGTCGATGTTGTTTTAGCCGCCTTGTGCGCGATTGCAGATGCATTATTGTTTAAATATCTCGGATCTGTCTCGTTTTGGTTGCGAAAGCGCAGCGCGCATATCGAAGGGAGTGCGTACGTGCGTTTATTCGTTGGTCCATTCGTTCGCTAATTCATTCATTCGTTCGTTCGGCGGAATCTCTCACCGAGCATATAGGAATATTTTACTTGCGCGCATGTTGCATGCACAAAGCAATTTTGCACTGGCGCGCATTCAAGTTAGTCACAATCGGGACGCACGATTGCCCGTACAAACAATAACTGCATATTAATTTATTGATTATTGGCTATAGCCAGCGCTCGCGCGCGATATATAGTATTCATAGAATTTACTATAACAGCAATATATATTCGTGCACTAATTTATTGACCAATAACTCGGCGGCGATTCTGTAACGACGAGCCCAGAGCGAGCGGTGATGCTGGCGGTGATGGTGGTGGTGGTGGTGGTGGCGGCGGCGGCGGCGGTGGCGGCGGCGGCAGTGGTTGTGGGTGGAGGAAGAGGCAATTGCGCGGGGGGTGGGTTTATAACGCGTATTATTATGCATTAATTTATACGGGCGTTGTCGATCGGTCGCGTTGCCGATTTAATAAGTCGACTGAAATAATCGAGAAAAGCTTCCCCCCAATCCAACCCCATGCCATGTCGCGACGCACCGATCGATCGGGCAACTGACTGATAGTCTGACTAAAGGCTAACTAACTAACTAGCTGACTGACTGATTCGTAAGCTTGCTCACTCACCCGTATGCAGTCGTGTGTGCTGCTGCACGTGGCTGAGCTGCTTGAACCTGCGGTCGCAATAGCTGCACTTGTACGGCTTCTCGCCGGTGTGGACCCTGATGTGCTGCACGAGCTGGTGGTTGCTGGAGAACGACTTGAGGCACTGCTGGCACTGGTGCGGCTTGACCTCGTTGCTGGCGATCATGCCACCCGGTCCGACGCCGACGCCGACACCGACGCCTAGGCCGGCCAGGCTGCCCGCGACGCCGCCGCCGGGTCTCCCCGTCAGTGCACCCGCGCCCAGCTCCCTCGCGTGCATCTGCATCGCGCTCTTGTGCATGAAGATCTGCGAGAAGAACTGCCGGAGTTAGTTGGTACGCTGTACTTTTCGTCGAGCAACGGGGGATGGCAGATCGACCCTGACCGCTGTTGTCGTCGCTCACTCTTTCTCTCTATCTCTCTGTCTTTTTCATTCTACATCTGGTCGATCTTGCCATCGCTCACGTATCCGCCGAAGCTGAGGAGACGTCACCTCGCCGTGACAGAACGCGCTACGTTCTTTACGCTTCGGGAAAAAGCAGAAGAGATTGTAGCGCGCGTGGGAAGGTGGCGGCGAAGCGACCTCGAGACGAAATGTCCGTACCGCGGAACTGATTTTGTATCAACACAAGAAACGTACACGGAGAGAATATTGTTTAAAAATTACAATATATTTTAATAGTTCGGGAATAGACTGACACTATTACGAAAATTATAACAAAACATAGTAAACGTAAAAACGTGATAATGTTTACTACATTTACAATATTTTTGCTATGTTCATAGTCACTTTTACTACATCTTATTATAATTTTCACTATAGTGTCAGTCTATTACCGGAGTACTAAAATTGTATTGTAATTTTTACTACAATATCCTCTCCGTGTAGTTGGGAAATTAGTTCGTGACCGCTTCAAACTTATTTTTCTATCAGGTCGATGCAGGTTTCCAAAATAAAGAGCAGATATCGCGAGGCAATTTGGGAGATATTTTAAGAATGAGGAGAGTATGTTAATCTCCGAGGTACGGCATTCTCCTTCGCAGCTTCGGCTGATTGATAACGCACACGGTTCGAACAGTCCTCATACATGTCTCTCTGTAGCTTGCGCAAGTTCTTTGTGAATATATCGAAACTACTGGGTAGAGCATACGTGTTTCAAGTTACGAGAGCGCGTAGAATTGCACCGCGCCGTCGTATCGTCGAACTCGAGTCAAATTGGTGGTTGAACTTGGCGATTAGAAGTTACCACCAAGGTCGCGCAAACCTGACCCAAATCGAAATTTTGATTCTGCACTAATCCCGCGAATTCTGCTCAACATGAAAGGTCAATGGAGAATCTCGAGAAATAAAGTTATGCAAGATGCTACTGTACGCTATATTTAACGCTACAAATGGCTACTCACTGCCACTGCATATTCGAAATGTTGAAGCTTAGATAAGCACTTGTTTCAGGATTATTTAATATTCGGTTATCTCCGTGTTCTATTTACGTTTAATATTTTCATAGCTTTAATAAGCAAATATATTGATTCTGCAATTTATCCTACCGCGCACAGAGTATTGCGAGATAAGCAAATATTAAATAATCAACAATAATGAATAATAAAATTAAATGAGTACTAAATGAGTATTAAGTGAGAGAGAAAAAGAAACTTTCTTCCTTCATAATTTATTAATATATGTATTAGTATTTAAAACTCTCTTTTTCTGTCTCTCTCTCTCTCTCTCTCTCTCTCTCTCTCTCTCTCTCTCTCTCTCTCTCTCTCTCTCTCTCTCTCT